GTCCAATCTCATTACTCAATTGCCTGGACAAAAGTAAAAATTCAGTAGCAAAAGAAAATGTTAATTAAAGCAATGCTGTGCATATTAACTGGCTTCATCAATTTAGTAGCGACTCCTTTCACTAAAATATAATGCCTAATGAAAGAACTCAAAATGAAAACATTACTTCCATTTAATTTCTCTTGTCATGGGTTCTCTGATGCTGTTTTAGATGGTCGATCCTTGTGAATCCTTTCCCACACTCGGAGCACTGGTGAGGCTTCTTCTCGGAGTGCATCTTCTCATGACGTCTTAGTGTCTCTTTCCGTGCAAACTTCTTCCCACAATGGGAGCAAACATGATCCATCTGTCCTGAATGCTGTAGTTGGTGAGTAACCAGTTTCCCGTCTGTATTAAAGCTCTCCCCACACTCGAAGCACATATACGGCTTCTCATCCGTGTGTGCAATCTTCCGGTGCTTCAGGAGGTAGGACGTGGAACTGAAGCTCTTTTCGCATTCATCACATTTGTACATTTTCTTCTTCCCGGAATGACCCTGCATGTGCAGCTTCAGGCAACTTGCTGAGCTCAGGCATTTTCCACACTCTAAGCACTTGTGGACTTTGATCCCTGCGTGAATGTCTTGATGCCGTTTGAAGGTGTCTTGACGAGTGAAGGTTTTGCCACAGGTGGTGCAGTCAAACAGAGTCTTGCTGGAATGGATTATGAGGTGGCTCTTGAGAGTAGAGGAGGACTTGAAGGCCACACCGCATTGAGAACAGCTGTAACTTCTTTCGTCGGTGTGCACCACCTTGTGCGCTTTGAGATTTGCCAGCCTAGCGAAGCTCCTGCCACACTTCTTGCAATGGAAAGGTCTTTCTCCAGTGTGTGTGACCTGGTGGGACCTCATACTGTTCTTGAAGCGAAAGCTCCTGTCACATTTCGGGCACTTGTAGGATTTCACCTCAGAGTGTACGGCCAGGTGTCTAGTTCGATCTCCTGAAGAGGGGAACCTTTTCCCGCAGTGTTCACAAGTGTAGGGTTTCTCTCCGGTGTGAAGACGCTCATGCATTTTGAGGCTGTTTGGATGCTTGAAGGATCTGCTGCAGTATGTGCATTTGTAAGGGGTCTCGGAGGAATGGATCTTCATGTGCGATGTGAGGTGGCTCAACCTTTTGAAGCTGCTCTCGCAGTCTGTGCAATGAAAAGGACGGTTGTCTTGGTGAATGGTTCTATGAGTTTTGAGTTCTTGCTTCCTCAAGAAACTCTTCCCACACACAGAACAGCTGAATGGCTTCTTCCCTGCGTGACTATCCAGGTGAACATCCAAGTCAAATTTATTGATGAACTTCTTGTCACATTGCGGGCACGGAAAAGGCCTTTCTCCGGTATGGGTTGCCCTGTGGACTCTCATAGCCGCCGCTGTGTTGAAAAACTTCCCGCAATGATGGCACTGGTGGGGCAGGGTGCCTACGTGCAACCGCAAGTGGGTATTTAGGGTACTTCGTCGAGAAAAGCTTTTCCCACATTGTGAGCAAGTGAATGGCTTCTCTCCGGTGTGGCTCCTCAAGTGGGACTTCAGTCCGCTTTCCCTGACAAACTTTTTCGTGCAATAAGAACAGTCCAACAGCTTCTCGCCAGTGTGTAGCCGTATGTGCATGGAGAGCTCTTGTTTGCCGACATAAGTCTTTCCGCAGGTGGCACACTGGTGTGGCTTCTTCAAGTAGTGCACCTTCTCATGGGCTCTGAGGTCTGACTTTATTTTGAAACTCTTGCCGCATTTTGGACAAAGGTTGGACCTTAATGATTTACAAGTAGTCGTGGGTGGTGGTTGAGAATTCTCTCTAGATTCATTGGGTTCCTTTAAGATGGAACTGGGTGCAGAAACTGTGTCATGTAGCATCACATCTGTATCTACTTCCTCATCCCTAGAAGCAGTAAATCATGTTTAAATCAAAGGCTTTTAGGAGAAGCAAAGAAAGTTGACTCAGTAACTAAGCAAGCATAATAGATTTAGAGGTTGACTTTTAATTTCACATTTCTTATTTCAAAGCTTTTATGTACCAACAAGACATCATTGATCTTTGCATTTTCATGAGCAGATAGGACACTCACCTGGTTTCATTGGTCTGCTCCCTCTTGGAAAAAAACAAAACAAAAACATGTTTTGAGATGTGTTCTCTACTTGCAAGACATGTCCTGACACTTTTGACATCTTACCTTCACAGAGGCAATGTCCTCCATTGTATGTCCATATATAAGGTTTTCTTCTATGTTTGCTGTTATGTTTTTTTCAGTTGGTTCATATTTGACCTCCATCAACATCTGGACCATGGCACTGATGTCCTCTTCTGTCTTAATGCTGGCAATAGTGCTCATTACCACTGATAAGTCCTTCTCTACTGACTGCTGTTGGTGTTAGCATAGACCAGGGGTGGCGAATGTCAGTCCTGGAGAGCCGCAGCCCTGCAGAGTTTTGCTTCAACCCTACTCAAACACACCTGAACAAGCTAATCAAGGTCTGAAGCAGTGATCCTCAAATCTGGCTCGCGAGATCCACTTTCCTGCAGAGTTTATCACGAACCCTAATCAAACACGCCTGAGTTTGCTAATCAATGTCTTCAGGATCATTAGAAAATCACAGGTAGGTTTGTTTAATTATAGGGTTGGAGCTAAACTCTGCAGGAAAGTGGATCTCGCGAGCCAGATTTGAGGATCACTGGTCTGAAGGGTTACTTGAAAGCTACATGCAGGCAAGTTTTAATTAGGGTTGGAGCTGAACTCTGCAGGGCTGCGTCTCTCCAGGACCGGAGTTCCCCACCGCTGGCATAGACATTTACATTTATGCATTTGGCAAACACTTTTATCCAAATAACATGCCATCTTGAGTTTCCATAAACATTCCCTCTTATCTATTACTCGTTAAGACAAATAATCCTTGATGTCACACATCGTAAGACTAAACAGCAACAGAAAAATAACAAATCAATTAATGAATCAATGGAACAAGTATATAAAGGGCTATAATGATTATCATAGATGATTATATCAGGAGTGTCAAACTCAGTTCCTGGAGGGCTGCAACCCTGCAGAGTTTAGTTCCAACCCTGCTCCAACACAAACCATGTAGTTTTCAAATAAGCCTGAAGGACGTGACTAGGGTGCGTTTAATCAGGTGCGTTTAATTAGGGCTGGAGCTAAACTCCGCAGGGCTGTGGCCCTCCGGGAATTGAGTTTGACACCCCTGGATATGATTAAATGGAATAATAAAGTAATTAAATAATAAATGCTCATGCTTAAGTGAATGAATGAATGAAGAGTAAATGAATATAAAAGAAAGTAAAACAACACTAATGTATGGTTGCTCTCTTGAAGCAAAACACAGTTTGCATTTGAGGATCCTTAGATCCTTCAGTATGCATTACATCAACTCAGTGTCAGAGGTAAGGAACAGAAAAAGACACAAGGCTTTGAAGTTGGAAGTAGGAAATTTCAGCTGAAGTATTCCCACCTCCTGACTTCATCTAGAAAGCACCTTAATTTGACTTTGCATACTTAATAAACTCACTTACCATTTCACTTTCTGCATTCCCCACATGGAATGGTTTGAAGTTGCTGTCTTGAGAGGATTTACCCTCTGAGGTAAAGCGAGAAATACTTAAATGATGTAGATGAACAGAACAGTGTGTCTCCCTCAAACAAACAGGACACTCCAGGGACTTGTTGAGCTCCCAGTAGCTTTGTAGACAGTTTTTGCACAAGCTGTGGCAACATCTTAGAACAACAGAGTCTTTTAAATAGGAAGTGCAGAGATAGCAGACAGAATATGTGACAGGAAGGGGAAAGGTGGCAGCCATATTGTCACAGATGTTAACAGATGATCAATCATGTTTTATCAAGTAGTTATTTTGTAAATTGGTAAAATGTGACTGTTGTGTTCTTCCTCTCTTATTTACTCAATGAGTTAACTGACAAACAATAATCAATTAGGAGCACTAGCACCATCTAATGGTCAGGATGCTATTTAATGAAAGATCTCTGTAATTCTGTACCAATTTTAAAGAACAAACTAGCAGCAAAAACATTTTAGAAATCTTCTTGAAGAAAAGGGTCAAATGGGTTTGGAGCGACAAGACCGCAAGTAAATAATGACACTGTTTTTATTTTTGGGCCACTGGCTGACATAAATGTTTCCTTTACTGCAGAAAGAACATTACTACAGATCATAACAGCGCTTGCAGATTCTTTCATCTGCAGTAAAACTTGAAATGCTTTGAAACTCCATTCAATTGTGCCAGAATTATTGTGTTAAATCATGTTAGCTGAGGGGAAATCCCATTGTTCCAGATTAAAGACAAAGGTTACTTATGCAGAAATGTAATTTTAACTAAATTTGACATGCAAAATTACTAGTTAACCCATATAGTCATCTATAGGATAGCATTAACAGGAGTTTTCTTTTCAGGAAGAATAGTTTGTTAAAAATATTCACTGAAATTTGTAGTTGTTTCATGATGTTCTAATAGCTATTATTTTCATATTATTGATTTGTTAAGTTTAAAAAGTTAATTGTATTTGGTTATTTTACCCGAGTAAACTTTATTTTGTTAAAATTCAGGTTCTGTGATACCAGGTTATGAGTGTCCGTGAATAAAGAACATCTCCCCTTTTTTAAGTCTGAAAAATGTATCGATATATCATTTTGCAAAGCACATTTCACATATTTCATTCAGATGCCTATGTATTCATTTCAAAATAAAATAATACCCAATGAATCTCCCTTTTTTAATGTGCATCCTCTTGAGGTTTTTTGATTCTACATTTAACAGGATATAAAAACAAAATCTCATGACAGGACAAATAATTGTAGTAGAGTAGTTATCTTTATTATGAATAATGGCACCATGATTTATCACGATGAAATTCACACAAGAATCAACGTATTCCTTGATGTACGGGTAAAATGTAAATTGAAGGTCCAGAATGAAGTCCAAAATAAAAATTCCCCAACAATAAAGCACATTTCTCCTTGTCTTTCCATTGGTGGTACGCCCTAAAAGACGTATTTATATTCAGCCCAGTTGACCCTAGACTTCAGCTCTGCAGGTCTAACGGGAACAAATAAAAAAAGGTTTGGTCGCATAAATAAACTCAATGCTTTCAGTGCTGAGGGTTTAGTCGTCTAAGAAGTCGTCATCCAGATTGATGTCTGTGGTGTCAATGTCATCAAGCTCCATGTTATCCAAATCATCCTCCAGATCATCGATAACCTTAACATAAATCAGAGTGTGAGGTTACATCAAGTCTGATGTTAATACGCTTTTTTTAAGAATATATTTTGACCAAATACCTTCTGTTCTGCTGCTGTTGTCTTGGGAGGCTCTTTCTGTGTCTTCTCCTCAACCTTCTGAGCAAGCTGGGATTCTGCATGACTCATAGTAGGCACTGTTGCAACTACTGGAGCCGAGACGGCTGCCGTCACCGAGGCCAAAACTCCCACATCCTCTGGGGCCTCCTCTGCGTCCTTTACCTGCTGAACATACACAGGCCAATAGATTAGTTCATGCACAAAGACATATTAGATCAGCTCTTTACACCACACTGTTGTTCTGGTATTCTGGGCTATAGTGTAATACCATCAACAAAATGAGTGTTTGATAAACAAACACAAACCTGCGTGGGAGTGGGGATAATTCCTTTGGGTTCATAACCACTGGCCTCTTCCAACACATTTCTTTCTTCATTGGGCTACAGAAAGAAAATGAGAATAAAAAAAAAATTGGCTACACAGTCGCTTTAATTATAAAGGTGCATTATACACAAATAAAACATTAAAATATGAGCAAACCTTTTTTTTCTAATTACAAACCAGCAACAAATATATACAAACTGGTGAAACTGAGCAGTAAGTAAGCACTATAACTGTAATGTTTTCACAATATAGTGCGCCTTTTGAGTGGAATCTGGCTATATTTGCTAGTTTTGATAAACTAAAATAAAAAAACAAATAAAAATGACTAAAATTGACTAAATGTGAACATATAAAACAGATAACTAAATATTAATAAGCAAAGTATATAAATAATAGTAAAATACCACTGAGTGAAGATAAAAAAAGAGAGAGAGAAAATAGCCGTTTTCTTACCGTGACCAGTGGGTAGTCAGAGGCAGGTCTTGTTTGGCCGAGGCAGGTCTCTCTCAGGTACTCCTCTGCCACAAAGGCCTCTCTCAGGCCTGGGAACAAGTTCTCATACTCTGTGGGGTCTGCCAGAGACTCTGCCGCTTTCTGATTTACTTTTGACAAACTCTCTCTCCAAAGCTTCACCACCCTGTGAACAAACAGATTTGTAACGGTAACATTTCATTCTCTGAGAAAAAAATATCAATGACAAATTAATTTTATTTGAATTTAGAGCACAATTGTCTTAATTTTTATGAGTTTGATCAAATAAGAGTCAAAAAGAGACTCATTTTAGGTTTTTCACACTGGAAACTGAAGATCAAGTCAAGTGCATACTGTTGTGTTGTGGGACACAGAATCTTACACCGTGTACTCTGATTGCAAACTGAACAGAAAATTAGCATATTGTGCATACTATTTTCTATTCATACTATTTCTTCTAGTAGCACGTTATATGCCCTTCTAAAATAATCGGTCACTTTACTGCAATTTGTGAGAAAGAAAAAAAAAAACACTTTACTACTATGGCAATGAACACAGACCTGGATACTTGGCTGGGCAGATATGTGCGGGCAAGAAAGGCTGCTTCTGGTAGACGATTTGTCTTGATCAGAAGCTCCAAACAGTTGTCCAGTCTGGCAAGATAAACAAACAATAAAAATCAACTAAAATATATAAACTATATTTAAAAATAACAATCTGTGACTGAACCATGACTTCCTCCAGCATTGTAGGAATTACTAGTAGACTATAAAATGAGAATCCACAAGAGTAAAACATCCATAGTCAAAATTTTTCTATTTTTATTTCAGCTGACGAAGGTTTTTTTCTCCTGTGATGCTTACTTTCCCTGCAGGAAGTAGGTCATGAAGGCAACATTGTTTTTGCCATCACGCTCTGCCCCCTCTGCAAGCTTGGCAACCATAGCGGCGTTGCCAGATGCAGTGGCCAGCAGCAGCAGTCCTCCATAGTCCTGGGCATGATGGAGGCACTCCTGAGCCAAACCAAACTGGCACTTACTGATGGCCAACTCTGCCAACTGCTTCCACTTCTGCTCCGACTACAGAAAAAAAGCAGTAACATTAGACACCTTCATTATATTAGCTTTCATGGAGAATATTGTACATTACTTTTACAAGAAAAAAACTGTCTTTTTCTTACTTCAATAAATGTTAAAATAAATAAAGCATTAAGCAATTGAGCTTGGCCAGCACTAGGGGGCTGTTTCACTGGTGTACAATAACAAACCTCAGCTTCTACTGCTAGCTGATACGCAATTTTCAGCTCTCCTAACTGTAGCGCCAGCTCGAACCGGTGCTCTGGATCAGTGGACACAGCCAGAGCCTGCTGCTTGAAACCCTGCAGGCACACAAACAAAGATCCTTCAGATATCACAGAATATAATTTTGACAATGCACATTTGGCAGCCAATCAATCTATACAAGGTCTTCTAGACACACAATTGTATCTTCAAAAGTACTTTTAAGTTATAACTTGTACTTCATCCCAATGCATATTTTTTAAAAACATTCGATCAAGAAAAATATTTCCAAAACATATGGGTTAGTCTTAGCTGCTGTTATTTTAGAAATAATTTTATACCTTATATTATGCATATCATAGCTTACAGGCAAACATTTACCTCCGGTTTCACAGACAAGGCTTTAAGCTAGTCCCAGACTAAAATGCATGTTTGAGCTAACTCAACTGAAAATATCTTGCTCTGACATATCTTAAAATATGTCAGTGTCATTGTTCTGTGTCAAGATGCACACCTGTAATGTTTTCTTCCAAGGCATTTTTATAAAAGTTGCTTAAATATCTTAATTTAACTAAGGGCTAGTCCTGGCTTAAGCTAAGCCCCGTTTGTGAAACCGGGCCATAAAGTCTTACCTGTTTTTCCAGGAAGTGGGCAACTCTGGTTCTCTGTTCTTTCGGGATGGTGGGCAGCACTTTGTCTGCCATGCCAAAGTCTCTGCGCATGACGGCAGTCTGGTACTCCAGGACAGACACCAGAAGAGAGTAACTCACTATGTTCAGCTCCTTATCACCCAGGTAAAGACGGTCGTCTTTTGGAATGTATCCCAGAAGGTACATGGTTCTAAGGAAAATAAGTCACTGTTAGGCTAAATAAATCATAAATGTTTTCCGTGTATATTTACACTATTGTTCAACAGTTTGGGTTCAGTAAAAATAAAATAATTATTCAGTAAGGGTACATTAAATTGATAGTGACAGTAAAAAATTTACAATGTTAGAAAATATTTATATTTCTAATAAATACTCTTTGAATTTTCTATTCATCAAAAAAAATCACAAACATATTAAACAGCACAGCTGTTTTCAACATTGACAACAATAAGAGATGTTGCTTAAGCAGCAAATCAGCATATTAGAATAATTTCTAAAGAATCATGTGACACTGAAGACTAACAGCTTCTGAAAATTCAGCTTTACCATCAGAGAAATAAATTACATTTTAAAATATATATAAAAAAAAGTTATTTTAAAGGGGTCATATGATGCTGCTAAAAATAACATTATTTTGTGTATTTGGTGTAATGAAATGTGTTTATGCGGTTTAAAGTTAAAAAAACACATTATTTTCCACATACTGTACATTATTGTTTCTCCTCTATGCCCCGACTTTTTGAAACGCGTCGATTTTTACAAAGCTCATCGGTCTGAAAAAGCGAGGTGTGCTGTGATTGCCCAGCTATCCAGTGCGTTGGGATTGGCCGAATACCTCAAGCGTGAGACGGAAATGTTACGCCCCTCACCATACTGTGATGCCGTGTCCCGCCCGGAGCAACAAGACATAAGCATTAAAACCCATTACAAACGAGGCATTTGTTGCATCCAGTGGGGACATAATTACTGATTATAATGACTTAT